GCCCAATGGGCAGAGGGGGAAAGGCCGAGGGAGACGGGAACCCACTCTCCTGATTGGCCGGCCGCGTTGGAACCCGGAGAGGGAGGAGGCGGTTGGGAATGTGGGGAGGGGGGAACTCCCGCCGCAGAGGGGGGTCACGTGCCCCGGCAGGGCGGGCTGCAGAGGGAAGGGCCCGCGGGGAGCGGGAGCTGGGTTGGCACGGGCTCCCCCTAGGCAGGGTAAGGAGACGCGATGTCCTTGCCCTGTCTTGGCTGGAAGGCGGGCGCGCTGGACAGGCACATGCAGGCTTGCAGCCGCCTGCGTGGGTGCAAAAAAACAAACAAACAGGCATAAATAAAAGCTCCTGGTCTTAGCAGCAGCACGACTGAGGAGCTAGGGGAGCGTCTGGGCCACCTTGATCCCTATTTTCGTGCCCAGGAGACGGCTTCGCTCTTGCTCCAGTGCCAGCATCACCCCCGTCTCTGTGGCAACCGCAGCAGGCGCTTGGGCAGGACAGGAATATCACGCCAGCACATAGCTCAGCGGCTTGTAGCACAGGAAAGGGACACCTACACAAGCAGCTGGAAATACAGGAGTGGCAAAGCTATTAGGCCTCTGTGAATAGCAGGGCCAGGTAGAGACATGACACTTTTACCAGTAGAAGTGATTGGAAACCAGTTTATAGCCAGAGCAGAACAGATGTTCGTCCCATGTAGACTGGTTTTAAAATGGGGGAACCCGATCTAAGATTCATAGGCATGTGCCCCCCCTGAGATTGGCTGCCACTGGCTTCTGCAGGCAGCTGTGGCTCACCCCCATCTTCCCCCCGTTTGCTGCCAATGCGACTGACGGTGCCTGCGGGCAGTCCCCACTCACCGCCCCCCCTGCCACCATCGCTGGCAACTGCAGGCAGTCCCCACTCGCCGCTGTCAACACTGACACCCGCAGCTGCGGGCAGTCCCCACTCTCCACTGACTGACACTGGTGGTGGCAGGTGGTTGCTGCTCGCCACCATGGTGCCCCCCCAGCCTCAGGAAGCACCAGTTGTTTGTGCTAAGGCTTGCACCCCGCAGCACACCAAAGGGAGAACGTGTGTTCTGTTCGCTACTGAGCTAAACTACGCTGCTTTCAGAAAACTGTGTAACTTAGCTCAATTCCACCTCAGGCATTTTGAACATCTTCACCTAGCCCAGTTGTACTTTGGACCACAATTTTGGGATTGGACATCTTTTAAAGTCTAGTTGATTTCCTGCCAGTTAATTTAAGTTAGATGATACATTTGCACATGATCACCTAGAATAGTGATGCTCAACCAGGGTGCTGTGGCACCCTGGGGTGCTTTGGGATCCTTTCAGGGGTGCTGCAGGATGCCACACACATTAGCACTGGTAACTGGGTAAACATGATTCACAAGATGATCCCAGAGTTTTCACATTGGAATCTGTAGCTTTGAAAACATGCTGACCAGTTGCAGTCTTTCCCAGTTCTTTACAACAAGAAATTGCACCATTATTTTTCTGTGATCAAAATAAAAAAGAGTGAAAACCAAGAGCTGGCATTGTCCAAGGTGTGTTGCAAGTTTATCGAGCGGTGCCTCAAATTTGTAGAGGAGTGCCTCAAATCTAAAAAGGTTGAGGACCACTGACCTAACGGGACTGGTTGCTATTTACTCTTCAAAACATACCCTAACAAAGACATACCTTAAAGATGTGCAAAATGAGCTGGTTTGGGCTCCTATTCTCCTTCCTCAGTTGAGGAACCTTGGCTACAACCACTTTATTGGGTCAGGTTAATAACCTAGAGTTTACAGCTGTCAAACATACTTGGTGATGAAGGACAGATCCAGACCCACCTCTGGCAACAGGACAAGTGGTAGTGGAGTTACCTTGCACAGCTGCACCATTCCCCTCACTCCACTACCACTGAAATGAGCCCCAAGCGGGGAGCTGTCGCTGGGATTTTGGGGCATCTATACACGTACATTGAGGCTGCTCCACATTCTGTCATTACAATGCACCAGAGCAGACTCCAGCATCACGTGTATCAGTGCCCCCACACTGAAAAAAGGCAGCGGGGGTGCTTTAACTACGGCTCATTCGACAAAGTTTAAAGTGCCCCTACCGCCATTTTTCAGCACAGGGACGCTGATACACGTGATGCTCTGGGTGCTTTAATTAGAGCAGCTCTCAGAGCCACGCTAATTATAGCGTCCCCGCCCCCATGCCTCCGGGTGCACATGCATTAACGCCCTTGGTCACAGGGTAAGCAATGGCACCACCAAAACAAGTTCCCTATGGGCATCTGTACCTAGGATTTCAGTCCCTCTAGGAGCTCAGTGAATCAGATGAAAATTTCCCAGGCCAGGTCCAGCCCTGGTCCATATATTTGACACCTCGGACCTAGAACATTCTTCTCCAAAGTGCTGTAGGAGATAGTTTTGTGCCAGGAGGCTGGCTGCTAACAAATGTATGCGTGGGTGCATCTGAGACATTCATAACATTTAGGTTGCACTGGAGCTCAGTTCTTTATAAGTGTGCTGGATTTATTCAGATGGATAGAAGTGATGAAAGGAATAAAGCAGGGGTGAGGGGGGGGCTTGTTATTTTTCCCCACTCCTCCACCATGTTCAGTTCAATTTTCCCTCAGACACCCAGCCTCCAGTGGGGGTTTGCATAGTGTTTAAACAGTTCTGTACATTTTTCAGTTCTTCATGCTGTACAGGTAGCTTTCAGAAGCAGTACTTGAACCCTACTGGTCATCTTAAACTCATTTTTAAGCTCATAATTCATTGGAACAAAGCCATTTTAAACCTGGGGCATCCAATTTGAAGCTATAATGGTAAATGACCCTGGCTGAGATGTTCTTCCTCATAGCTAGTTTTCCATAGTCTGAGGGATCCGATATATCACTTCCTTCAATCACAGGCAAACAGCCTTCTAAATGTGTCATTTTGTACTATGGTATTTCCAGTGTATAAATAAAAACATAAGGGGGAAAAATTGAGACATAAATATGGAAAAATGAACAAAATATAGAAGTGTTAGAAACATCATATTTACTTGGTTAATCAGTAGTTTAGTTAAAAAATGACATTAATGACATAATCAAATCTGTTACTTTATAATTAGTATGCCATAATATTGCTATAGTTTGAATGGAATATATAAACATATAAATGTATTGTGTCTAAGCAAAGCTGTGTCCATTAGTACAGTATTTCAAGAGTCCTGCTAGTAACGTATCATTGAGTCAAAGTTAAGAATGTTTTAGAGCCACACAATGTGGCTCTTTTAGAGCCATTTAGAGAGATACATGATACTTGTCTGAATTTGACTACACAAAACTGCAGAGACTGGAGTTACCTGTCTGCAGCCTGATCCCTACCTACCCATAAATGCCTCCTTACCCGTATCTCCATCCCATCTCCACACTTCTGCTATCTCCAGTAGTCTCATAATTCCCATGTGCAATTATATCAAATGCTTGGCTGAAATCTAGATAGATTAAATTACCATATTTTCTTTGTCTAGGAATCTAGTCACACATACACGCACGCACAGAACATATCAAAGAAAGACAGCATGCTGGTCTGGCTCATTTATCTTTTGTAAATGTGTGGTGGAATTTATCCCATTTTCCATTTACTTCTACATCTTTAACTGCTCTTTCTTCCAAAATTTGTTCGAATGCGTCGCATACCACTGAGGTTAGACTAATGAACCTGTAATTTCCCACATCATTTCTCTCTTAAAAAAACAAATATATTGGCCTTCTCCAATTGTATATATTATATTCCTGACTTGATATATTGGCTAAAAACTCGTGCTACTGTCTTACCACTTCATGCCCCAGTTCTTTCATAATTCTAGGATAGAAATTATTCAGTACCTGATTTGAAAGCATTCTGAGTTATGTTTCCACCTCAGCTATGGTAATTTTGATTACCATATATTCATTGCTATTTGCCATCCTGCCTTTGCCCTCTTGTTCAACATAATTATTCTTATTGAAAACCAAGGAAAATTATTCATTTAGTTCTTGGATCATAATTAGATTAGCTGTAATCTGTACCCTGTTTTCAGTGCCTAGAGGCTCCACTTCTTTTCTTATTAATTTGTATGGCTGAAGAATCCTTAGCTATTTTTTTTATTGTATTTACTCAATTAAAATATGAAGTTGTTTTCCCCCACTTAACTGTCGCGTGCGGTGGAATTAAACACTCTGGGCAAGAACAAGGAGGTAATAACACAGAGGCAGAGTCCCTTGGCACTTAAAGTGAAATGCAAAAAGTTTTATTTTTGTACTCACGTTGGTAGTGAGGCTCAGTGTTCTTACAGCTGTTACAAATACTGCAGTAATTCACTCCCCTGGGAGAGATTACTCGTTCGGGATACGGAGGGGTCGCCCTGGGTTTTGGATATCGGTGGGCGTTCGCAAGACTGGGATAGAATTGGCCAGATTCCACCCTGCTCGTTTAGTCTCGGACTCCGGAGTGTTCTCTTCCGGATTCCTGGTTGTTTTATAAGACTGATACAATTGTCAGTATCCTCGTGAGCCAATTGGCTTCTATTATTTTGTTCGTTCCCTTATATGGTGGTCTCCCCCCGGGTTTGAGTCTCCCCCCGGGTTTGAGGAAGTGCCCAACAGTTACGGCAATAGCATGACAAGATACGCAATGGCTGCGGCTGCTTATCTGTGAGTTAGTACAGTCAGTACTTTCCCAAAATGGCAGCTGCTTATCTGTAAGTTAGTACAGTCAGTACTTTCCCAAAATGACAGCTGGTCACTCGGGAGCAAGCAGCAAGTATTACACAACATTAACATGATGGGGGAGAAGCCCCTCATCTTACAATCGAGTACAAGATGACATGGGGCAGGCAGCTGCTGCCTGCCCCCCTCATCTCTGTACTCCCTGGCTCTGTGTACTACCCTGTTGCCCTGTCCTGTCCTGGACCTCCCACTGCACCCCTCCTTATCTTTGTTCTAGTGCTGGCAGGCTCCATTTCTGATTCAGACTGGAGCAGAGGCATGGCCCCAGCCTGGCCCTGTAGCAGGGGTGTCAGCTTCACACCGCTGCTATGGGGCAGGGCTGGGGTCATGCTCTGTGCCCCAGGCTTCACTGGAGGAGACAGAGCCTATCAGTACCAGACTAAAGGTAAGAGGGAGGTGGAGGGACAGGTGAGGTGGCCGGGTGGGGAAGGACAGGGTGAAGGGGGAACAGGGACCCAAGGCTGCAGGGGGCAGAAGTGGCATGGAGCGGGGAAGGGGAGGCAGACACATGGCAGGAGGCAAGCTGCCCCACTGCCTGTCCTATTTCTCCTACCACCATTACTGTCCCTTCCCCTCCACTTCCTGCTCCATTACTTCCCCACTCATTGCTTGCAGTAGTGGCAGGCGATGAATTCAAGACCATTCTCCAATAATTAGATTCTATACAGGGAAAATTATAACAAATGTATAAATTTTCCAAGAATAGAATCTAATTATTGGGAGGTCGTCTTAAATTCAGATATATCTTATATTCGGGTAAATATGGTAATACTGGTATGGTCTAGAGCAGCATCATTCTCAGCGTGTTTTGGTCATTCTCAGGGCATGTTAAGACTTTGTGTAGTTACTAATTTATAACCCCTCCTACAAGGTGAACAGTTAATTATATAGAGACACACCCACACCCACCACAAGCATGGATTTAAACAATATGAGGACAATTTCCTTTTAATGGCAATAGGAAATAAGTTCCAAAAATGTACAGCATATGCAATATATTGATAATTAAGGTGCTTAGAGACATACATCAGGTTATTTCAGTAGTTATCTAGAGGTTTAGGTTTATTCAGTAAGGTATCTTGGTGCTTCTTGAAGAATTTTGAAAGTCAGGCTAAGAACCTTACAAAGTAAATACAAACTCCGACTAAGAATTATGATAACTTAGCCAAGACGGAGGTCAAGTAATCAAACTATATAACACCAATCCCATTATTTATCCTAAAGGCAAATTGCCAGGATTATAGGGACGATCAAGATCTTTGTGTGCAATTGCACAGTGGCTGGAGAACAGAATGGCTGGATGTGTTTCCTCTGACATCTCTAAACCTATAACAGTGGATGCTATGTAGGGTAATGAATAGAGGAAAGTTTAGATTTATCCTCTAAAGCATCCACTCCTGCAACTTGCAGAGACAGGATAATGGGCTAGATGGACCATTCTTACGTAACTCAGTATGGCATTTCTTATGTACATCCTTGGATTTGGAATACATTTTCTATAATTTTCCATCTACCTCCTCAATTATCTGCCTTTTATAAAAGTAGGCCAATATATAATAAATATAATACCTTAGGAGGAATATTATATGGAGAGGCTGATTTCATAGTTATGTTTTCAATACAATGATATAGAGAAATACAAATTTTATTACTGTCTTATAAAATCTGTATTTCTTAATTCTATATGCGATGCTTCTCAGTTCCATTACCCTTGCACTGCTATATTCTCCTAATTGTTCCTTATGGTACACAATCCAAGGATCTCATAGTGACTGTGTCCAAGCTTCACTGTTACTCAAATTTTTCTGAGGGTATGGACACATTGGCCTGAATATTTTGCCCAACTTAAATGTTTCTGATGGTATTTTATCTGCACACTTTTAGTGCCTTTATGGTTAGCATCAGGAACTTGAAATGTGTCTTTAAGTCCAATATTTGCCTTTTGTTTTCTCTGTATCATTCTGTACCAACTCGGCCACATCTCTGAAGTTTCAGTTTACATATACTCTGTGGAGCTATCTTAGTATTCAGCCATTAAAATCTCTTTAAATGTCTGTCCTTATACTTGCTGCTGTTGGCCAAATGGAGTTGCAGGCAGGATTGGCAGGTGGTGGGGCAGGGAGAGGGGAGAGTGTTGGGGGCAGGGAGGAAAAGGATAGGAGAAATGAGAGGAAGAAGTTTGTCTCCTTTGCTCTCAATGACAGGAGAGCATGCAATGCCCTCCATTACAACCTAGGCCAGAAATGTAAATAGGAAGGAGAGGGGTACCAGCCACAGGCACCAACCTAGGAAGAGGTGCAAAAATAGCAGCTGCTATGCTGCTGGCCTGAGTGCTGTCACAGCCAGCCCAGCTACAGTGATTGCCTCGCGCTGCCACTCCCCTAGGGCACAGAACTACCCAGTTATGCCTCTGGCCCAGGCAGTGTGGAGGTAGAGCTTCCTGCCTCAAATGCCAATGGGACAAGAGCTGGGAAAACAGATTGAGAAAAGAAACCTGGTGAGACTAGGACTACTGGATGTGCAGAGACAAGAGCCAGTAATGATAGAAGTTGTAATTTAGAGATGCTCCTTAACTGAGGAGACTGGGGAAGTTGGTAGTTGAGAGATAGTCAGTCAGAGGGGTAGTTAGAGGTGTGCAGGGGCTGGTCTGCTGTTTCACAATAAAAAGTTGTGCAATTCTTGAACGCTTGATTGTACTGAACCTTCTGATCCCTGCACTGGTGAGACTAGGACTGGCAGATATGTAAAAACAGATGCCAGTACTGATAACTGAGAGAATGAGGCTGGAACAAAGGCTGGGCAAATAGTGTAGGTGTGGGTTGAAGCCCAGGGAGTGGAAATAGGGAATGATTTGGTGGAGAGGAGAATGGGGCTGGGATGAGCTACCAAGGGTGGAGGGTTAAAAGGACTGAGAGAGATTGGAGGGGACAGAGGTTATGGGAAGAAACTTAGGGACAAGATGAAACTTAGGGACAAGATGAAGCCGAAAGATGTGTGCTTACTGCTTCGCAGTTCCTTCCAGAGCTTGAAATTAGAAAGGGTTGGACTGTGAGAGTACTTAGGAGCTCAAGTTATATACAAAGTCCCAATGGATTAGAAGCTAGATACTGTATAAACACATAACAACAATGCAGTCCCTGTCCCAAAGACATTATGCTTGACCCACTTTTTCTTTTAAATTGTCAGTATTTGGCTGCATTTTTCAAAAACAGTAATTTTTCTCTTTATTATCAGAGTACTATTTTTTAAGTATTCCTTCCACATATGCCCAGATGTAGGCCAAGTAAATGCTTACAACCTATAAAAAGATGGCCTAGTTAGGCCCTTCCCCTGTTTCACAGCAGGCCTTGTTTCTCAGTTTCAGATGCAATGAACAAAGTAAAGTTAATATAGTTTTGTCCTCCTACTAGTATTCACATACTGCAATAGAAATCAGTTTCTCAAACAAAAAATGTACACTGCAGGGACTAGTGCTTTATGAAAGACCCTGTCACAAGTGAAAGGTTGGCAAGACTAATGTCCTAAGGTGCTGGTAGTAAAAAAAATGATCATTTCTTTCTAATGACCTCTGTTTATGTATGCTTCAGTTCTAAGCAAAAATTAAGTTTTCTTAGACGTGATAACAAACATGTTTTAAGACCTGGAGTATACTGAATTAGATGTAGAATTGAAAGTAACTGTTAAGAAAGTTAACTGCACTTTAGAAGAATTCTAAAAATTGAACCTTTTATCCAGGGGACAAAAAAACCTACGCAGAAAAAAAGCAGAACAGTGCTCATACAGGCAGTATGCAGTGCTCAAAAGTAGAGCCAGGCCTTCCAGAGCAATGCTGCAGCTGCCGGTCAGGCTCCACATGGCAGAATTGCCACTGTTGCAGCCCCAGGAGGACCCCAGGTAAGGCTGGTGAGGCCAGACCAGTGCGGCCCCAGCCTCTCTTACCACACTGGGGATAACTTGCCATGTGCCAGAGTGCACGTGGCATGGGCATTTCCTGGGGACAAGTAGCAGTAGTGGAAGGTGCACCATTGCTAATTGTTCCGGGGAAACCAAACGTCCATGCCATGTGTGGACGCAGCCCATTTGTCCATTTTCTCTACCAAAAGTCTACAGTGGGAAACCTGGCAAGTGTGCCCTGTACCCAGAGTTAAGAAAAATACATAATAGGCGTGTCTACACATGTTTTTACATGTGCCTAAACTTAATGTGTATTTGCCTAATACACATTAAGGCAACTTAGGTGCACATGTACACATGCACGTGCTAAAGCGCATTAACGCAGTATGCAGACTGACTTGGGACTAAAGTTAGTTCCAAGTCAATTGACATACAAAATGTTAATGCACCTTAGTGTGTCTACACATGCGTTAAAGTGCTTTAGCTATTTGTACCTAAATTTGATGCTTGCTTTTGCAAATTTAGACACAAATAGCCTAAAATCACCATTTTTAAGGCCCATTAAGGGTGCACACATGCAGGCCTGTGTCCTTAATGTGCCTTAAATCAGCTAATGCACCTTAAATCAGCACATGTAGACACATCCAATGGAGAGAACCATGCATCTCAGAGGCCTAAAGGAGAGAAGAAACCAGAATTAAGCACAATTGTAAGTGAATATTAAATCTAAATTCAGAATCAGACACACAGCACATAAAAAACCATACAAGTCCAAATATATAAAGGCAGAAATACAGGCAGACAAGAGTAATTTCCAACAAAGAACACTTTATTTTTGAAAGATTATCTGTAACAAAAAATACCTGAATATCCCTTCATTAAAACAAAGTTGACAAGAAAAAGGCTACTTCTGATCTGGTTTGGACTCTCTTCTATATGTCTTATTTCATATCTAGAACCATGCAGTGGAAGCTGGGTCAAAGCTTATAACATATACAACCTGATGGCAAATGCTACATGTATGGTCTCAATGTTTACCTTATCTCCCCCTTTGTCCAGGGAAGGAAGAGACTGAGCTTCAGGCATTTCTGATAGCAGGAAAGACCAGCCTAACAGCTTTTTTTTTTTTTTTGCTTTTATTAGATGGGGTTAGGTGAATGTTAGTGTTCAGGATGGCCAACTGGTCCAATCCTTCCATAATGGGCAGACAGTAAGGAATGGACCTTTCTACCATGTCCTAATGATTCTCAATTTTGCCAAGCTACTGAGGTACGCTAGAAGGGAGGGTCAGGATACAGCTGGACCTGGACAGGTTACAGGGGTGAGCAAATGAGAATAGGATGGGATTCAATACTGACAAGCGCAGGGTGCTGCACTTGGGCAGTAAGAACCAGCAGCATACCTATAGGCTGGGGAACTCCCTCCTCGAAAGCACAGCGGCAGAAAGAGATCTTGGAGTCATTATCAATTCCAAGATGAACATGGGCCACC